CCAATATAACATTTCACCGTCGATTTTCTATGCTTGCATAGTAGGGATATTTACACTACCGTCTCCAGTGAAAATGTAATGCTATCCGAAATGTAATCAAATCGCCCACCCTTCAGTATCTTTTTATTTAAAATATTTGGCTAACCGAAGTAATTTTCCGACAAATACCACTTTGAAACATCATTTTCCCGTACTGGATTTATATCTAAATTTTTAATTTTCTAATTATAGAGAGTTATATTTCTACAAATTGGATGGGTGAGAATCTGCTAGTCATGCAGTTTAAAGAATGCACTTTCCACTTGCACTACAAGGATAGGTACTGATTAAAAGTCTCAAGCTGGTAGGAGAAAACCTCGCCTACTTTACTAGATCGCTAATTTTCTAGCAGATCCCAAGATTGAGAAAAGATGGAGGGCTAGTGCATCAACCCGGAAAATCAGTCCAGTCGATATAAAACTTCGAAGAACGATGAAAATATTAAAAAAACGAATCCTTTGCTGTAATCTGAGAGGCGAAATCACACAGGCTGGTCAAAGACTTCATAGAGTCAGTCAGTTGATGTGTCTTCGTTCGATAGAGGCAAGGATAAGCATGTTCGCACAATTTATATGAACTATGATCGAGATTTGACCGAATAGTTCCACAATAGTTGGGCGCAAAGTGAGTAGTAGACATCTGTAAAAAATTTTATTTGTAAAATCTCGGCGAAATTGAAATGATTAGTTGCAACGCTTCGTTCATTGAGATTTTACAAATAGAATTTTTTACAAATGTTCGCACAATGTTCGAAACTGGCTAGGAAGGCTGTCCAGCTTGCCAAAGAAGTGAAAAGATATGTCATGGAAGTGTTAGGAGTCTGTGACAGCAGGTGAAATGGAAGTACACTCTCCAAAATGTCAACTGGCGAGTTAACAACCTACTCCGTCAACCCAGACGACAACTGACGAGCACACTGAGGGAGTCAATGCCTAGCATAGTGTCATCAACATCAGCCAAAGCTCTTATCCAGTGGGAACCAATCTCACCCTCTGCGATAATGACACCAAGATTCAAGTCAAAAGCAAGCAAATCTACAATAATCCAATGCTGCGCCCGGACTTCATCTAACGGATATACCGATGATCAGGTAGATTTTATCTTGATTTCAAGAAAGTAGAAATGCAAACTGCTGGTAATAAAGTCAAGGAGAGGTAGGGCAGATGTGGTCTCAGATCATTATCTAGTTCCAGAAGACTTCAAGGTCAATGCTGAAAGACAACATAATAACTAGCAATGGTCAAACATCAAGGTTGAGGCGAAAGCCTTTAAAATAACTGCAGAAAACATACAGCTTAAGTACCACATACAGAAAGACGAAACTACAAAAGATAAGTCCACTGCAGCCTTCACAGTAAAGCTGAAGATAATACTTAACATCAATGAGTAAACCTGGGTGTACCAAAACAGGGACTTTCTGAAAGTAATGTTCACGTAAATGTGTACAACTATTCTAGGAAGAAAGAAAACTCGAGACAAAGAATGACTCTCAATGGACCCCTGGAAAGTAAAAGAATAGAGGAGGATGGTGAAACAGAAGATAGACCGGTGCAAAGATGGACAAAGGATGGAGAAACTGAGTTCACTGTACGTTGCACTGAATAAAGTAGTAAAGAAGAGTATTGGGAAATACAAAAGACAGTTTAGCGACACACTGGCAACTGAATCAGAACAGGCCAAGGATAAAAGAGACCTCAGAACATTATATCAGATAACCAGGTCTCTATTCGGGGATATGAAACCAATAAGTCAGAGAGAAGGCAAACTAATTATTGGAGAGGCGAATCAAACAATGCAATAGGCTGATCACTTCAAAGGACTCTTGAATCAACCATCACCACCTGCAACTCGTCCAGAAATACCACTCATCCTTCGAAAAAGGAGAAGTCTTGAATGCAATGAAGCTACTGGTAGCCCGCCGTGGGACTGAATGGAATCCCCTGGAAGCACTAAAAACCGATCCAGAGATCGCAGAATATATGCTCAAGCCCCTACTGCAAAATGTTTGAAAGTAAGGAAAAGGCTCCCGGTGGTTGGAGGAAAGTTTGCTCACTCGGGTGATCCTGATGAGAACAAACGATGCACTGCATGCAGAACTCAAACCGCACCAAGCTGAAATCAGGAAAAGCAAATAAATGTGCGGATCAATTTGAAACTTTAAGCATCTTTGACGAACAAAGTATAGAATAGCAGTCGAATCTCTACCACAATCACACTGACTTTGAAAAGGCATTCGATGGCATTGACTGAGGAGTAATTTAGAAACTAATTCAACAGTACGGAGTGCCCGAAATCTTTACCAACCTCATTCAACAGCCATATGTCAATACCACATGTCCAGCAATTCACAACGGAAAGTTCAGAGAGGCCTTTAAAGTGCGTACAAGAGTAAGAAAACGCTGTCTGCTTACTATAACTGATGATATTCCGAATTGTGGTTGACTGGATGATGTACCACACCGTGTGCAGGGATGGAGGACACAGGAATACACTGCAATGGTCAGAAGAATCAGGTGGATCTGGGTTTCGTGGTTGATTATGTCTAATTTCACACCAGTTCGAAGGCTTATAGGTGAAGACCAACAAGTCGGAAAAAGAAGTGGGAGGCAAAGGCAGGGTTTCAAGGTAACATTAAGAAGATGAAAGTTAAAAAGATAACCACCACCACGAACAGGAACAACAACAAGCATCAGTCACTAACAACCGAAGGAATTTACGATAGGTTACTTCCTTCACTAATCCAGGAAGCATCGTTTCAACTACAGGCAACTGAAACGGATGAAGATGTTAAAACCAGAATCACAAATGTAAGACTGACTTTCAACATTCTGAAGTCAGTTCGGAAATTTTCCGCACTCAACATAAAGAGTAAAATTCGTATTTTTGATATAGGGATAAAACTGTAGTAGACTATAACTCCATCATGTGTAAAATTTTTATTTTGATAAAGTCACAGTTTTATACAGTAATATTTACTGATGACTTTTTGAGCAGAAATTACTGCTCATAATCAGATCAAGGTACCCTGAAAACTTTCGTATTTTTTGTAGTCACTTCTTCTGTATGCTTCAGAGACTTGCAGTGTCAAGGAAAGCATTTCCAACAACCTGCTGCAGACCTTTAAATGTGTTTTTCTGAAAAACTCTCATACCAAACAGTATTGTATGCTGGCCAGACCACAGTGGTCTGAAAATAAGACAGCCATTTCTTTTGTTTGATGCATCAGTGGCATGTGTCCGTTTTGACTAATCTCAGACAGCGGAACTAGTCCAGATAATTGGAAAAGAGAAAGATTGAGCGAAGAAATATTTACTTTTCAATTAGATCCTCATCTCTGGCTCCACTCTAATATATATAGCATTTTAATTACAATACACAACAATTTACCAATCAAGTGGCGATATGTTTGTTAACAATAATTAGTCGGTGTCAAAATGTCAATGGGGTGATAATTAACGAAGAAAAATTAATATTTATAATTAAAAGGTGGAAATGGTTACAACACGTGGATTGCATAATGCATAATTTTGAAAAAATGAAGAGCAATTAAGGAATAAGCGTGTGCACAGGTTGATTACGTAACAGATTGTTAAAGAAAATAAAACAATTTGGACAATGATAATTTGTAACTAAAGTTGAAGTGGTCATAGGAATAAAATAATTTTTACAAGGATAACACGTAATTAAAGATGAAGTAGTCAGAAAAATAAAATAATTTGGACAATTATAGTTTTTTAAAAAAGGAAAATTATTCTAGGGGGAGGGTGATGGAGTAGTCCGGTTTATACAGTCATGTAACGATGGCCAAGGTAAGGAAAATGGCTGTACAAATTTCTTCTGGACACACAAGTTTGGCTTCTTCAGGTGGATTCCTATTGCTTCAGCTGTATGTAGAAGACGAACTCGTAAAGCAAAATTAAGATTAGTAAGAATGCGATAAATAATTTTAAATGCAGTATTAACATCAACCTTATGCTCACTATCTACAAGGTGGGCTAAAATAGAGCTACGAATAGATTTTGTTTGTCCCTTGCTTAACCATGCTGGATGATGTTCGGAAATACGACGATGAACCTGCCTAATTGTTCGCCCGATGTAGCTGGCTCCGCAGCTGCAGTCAAACTGGTAGATACACATAGAAGAGGCGAATTTAGGTAGTTTATCCTTATTACTCGAACGTAGGATAGGTGTAGTCGTGAAGAGACAGTGTACCTCTGCTGCATAATAAGCTCTTTTAACTGCATTCCTCAGTCGCTGCATTATTATTTCGCTGATGTTGTCGCCGAGGAACTGAAGTTTTATGAACAGTGGTTTTTTCGGAAATGTTGCCATAGTCACTGTTCTAGGTGAGGAATTCATATTTTTCTCAATAAACTTATCTGGATAACCATTTTTTCTAAGTAATTCTCTAATAATCTCAAGCTCCTCATTGAAGCAGTCGTCTGAACAGATTAACCTAGCTCTATGAACCAGACACTTTACCAGGTTGCGTTTATATTTCAAAGGTACAAAACTCAAAAAATGAGTGTACTGTCCTGTTGTAGTAGGTTTCCTGTACACACTCCTTCTTAGTGTGCCATCTTCTTTCCTTACCATGAAGACGTCTAGGAATGAGATACAGTCATTACTTTCTTTCTCTATAGTAAAGTTTATTGCTGAATGGGCATCATTAAACTTGTCAAGGATGTTCATTGCGTCGACCTCGTTTTTTATGACCAGAAATGTATCATCCATATATCGACAGTAGAAATCCAAGTCACTAATTGCTCCTTTCAGTGGCCCAATCCTAGCTGATTTTTTCCTCGCTAAGTTAGAGAATGGACCACTGAAAGGAGCAATTAGTGACTTGGATTTCTACTGTCGATATATGGATGATACATTTCTGGTCATAAAAAACGAGGACGACGCAATGAACATCCTTGACAAGTTTAATGATGCCCATTCAGCAATAAACTTTACTATAGAGAAAGAAAGTAATGACTGTATCTCATTCCTAGACGTCTTCATGGCAAGGAAAGAAGATGGCACACTAAGAAGGAGTGTGTACAGGAAACCTACTACAACAGGACAGTACACTCATTTTTTGAGTTTTGTACCTTTGAAATATAAACGCAACCTGGTAAAGTGTCTGGTTCATAGAGCTAGGTTAATCTGTTCAGACGACTGCTTCAATGAGGAGCTTGAGATTATTAGAGAATTACTTAGAAAAAATGGTTATCCAGATAAGTTTATTGAGAAAAATATGAATTCATCACCTAGGACAGTGACTATGGCAACAGTTCCGAAAAAACCACTGTTCATAAAACTTCAGTTCCTCGGCGACAACATCAGCGAAATAATAACGCAGCGACTGAGGAATGCAGTTAAAAGAGCTTATTATGCAGCAGAGGTACGCTGTCTCTTCACGACCACACCTATCCTACGTTCGAGTAATAAGGATAAACTACCTAAATTCGCCTCTTCTATGTGTATCTACCAGTTTGACTGCAGCTGCGGAGCCAGCTACATCGGGCGAACAATTAGGCAGGTTCATCATCGTATTTCCGAACATCATCCGGCATGGTTAAGCAAGGGACAAACAAAATCTATTCGTAGCTCTATTTTAGCCCACCTTGTAGATAGTGAGCATAAGGTTGATGTTAATACTGCATTTAAAATTATTTATCGCATTCCTACTAATCTTAATTTTGCTTTACGAGTTCGTCTTCTACATACAGCTGAAGCAATAGGAATCCACCTGAAGAAGCCAAACTTGTGTGTCCAGAAGAAATTTGTACAGCCACTTTCCTTACCTTGGCCATCGTTACATGACTGTATAAACCGGACTACTCCATCACCCTCCCCCTAGAATAATTTTTCTTTTTTAAAAAACTATAATTGTCCAAATTATTTTATTTTTCTGACTACTTCATCTTTAATTACGTGTTATCCTTGTAAAAATTATTTTATTCTTATGACCACTTCAACTTTAGTTACAAATTATCATTGTCCAAATTGTTTTATTTTCTTTAACAATCTGTTACGTAATCAACCTGTGCACACGCTTATTCCTTAATTGCTCTTCATTTTTCCAAAATTATGCATTATGCAATCCACGTGTTGTAACCATTTCCACCTTTTAATTATAGATATTAATTTTTCTTCGTTAATTATCACCCCATTGACATTTTGACACCGACTAATTATTGTTAACAAACATATCGCCACTTGATTGGTAAATTGTTGTGTATTGTAATTAAAATGCTATATATATTAGAGTAGAGCCAGAGATGAGGATCTAATTGAAAAGTAAATATTTCTTCGCTCAATCTTTCTCTTTTCTAAATGTGTAAATGGGGATATTTTCTATAGAATCCAGATAAGACGAATTCGCCCAGTCAATTAGTAGTATTTTTTCACATCTATTCGTCGGGTTTCCTACCTGTTTTTCATTGTATAACTGACATCTTACATTTTGACTTCGAAAAGAAAGCTTTGGTGATTTTTCACCTTGCACCGTGGAATCCACAAATAACGAATTTCATTCATTGAATCTGATACACTTACTCTGAGAATGATTAGATGATTCAGCTAAATGGTAATACTGATAATCAGAATTAGTAGCTGAACATAAGCTGCTTTCATCATATTCTCCGAATACAAGAAATATTCTGTTTAGTATACTCAGTAAACTGATAATATGGTAAGTACAGTTACCGGTTTCATCAGGTTACTGACTGAGCTATGAAAATGATCTTTTAAACAGGCGACAGTCTTGTTCCATTTAATTATAGGCATTATATATATATATATTCATATGTAAAACTCATACACTATTAAAATCGTATTTATTTCGCAAAAATAAGATATCGACCCCATGATGAAATAAATACTCTTACCAATCAAACAAAAATGTCCCTAGTAAACCAATACTTGAAAATTATTCTGATGCTCACTAACGACTTGCTCTATCCAGGCAGTTAACCTGAGGTTCTAGTAGGAAGCCGTGACCAATAAAGTACAGCAGATTGAAGGCGAGACAGTAACTCATCGAAGAAAACATCGCGAATTGGTCGCGCTATGTCATGAATTGTCAAAAGCTAAAATTCATGGGCTATTGGATCGGGTCCTAGTGGCGCAATGGTCTACAAGTTAGCTCGCCTTGTAACCAGAAGGCACGCAGTTCGAACCTTGGTGGGCACGTCCCAAACTATTGGGACGGAACAACTGTCCAGTACTCCCAGGTTTTCCAATGGTTGTCTAATTGATGTCAACTCATGATGAAATCCGCCAACCAGTCAAACAAAAATCCCTACAAAAAACCAATTCTTGAAGATAAGATAACTTCATTATAAGAAGTAACAGTGTAACAGCAGAAGACAAGGGCAAGGCAACAGATCGTCTATTAAGGAAATCAATACGTATTTATATATTTTCATGTGCATTATTATAGCTTATTCAAGCAAACAAAACACAGTCGTTTGATTGGTTTTTTCTCACAGAAACTTAACCTTGGATCTCTTTGTGGCTGTTTCTTGAATTTCAGATCATCTATATGCTAACTGTATCCGCCTACGCAAAGTGTGTTGTGGTTGTTTGTTGAATCAGTCTTTGTTCATATTTTCTCACGATGAATATTTAGGACATGCACATTGACGTAAATTAATGTCTACGGATTTGGCTAGCCGCCTGCTCTCACTACAACAGAAGCTAAATGTATTTCTAAAAAAATAAAGAAACGAATAGATACTCTCATATTTGCTGTCAAAACATTTTCCTCACACAAAATGAGCATCGCTTATTCGAGCAATGTCCAGTAGGATAATGAGCTGATTTTACAGTAGCACACACATAAAGTACGTGGCAAAGAGAGGATACTTAATGCATCTATCAACAGATTGAATTAAACTCAACCTGTTCCGTGTGATTCTAGGTTGTTGGATATTCGTTTAATTTGTGTAGTGAATTTTCAGGTCACTGGATATCACAAACTATATTTCGGTATACAAGCTAATGGTTAAGAATACACAATCAGGAAGTTTTATTTCCTATACAAGGCAATTGAGTTTTCTGCTGTTCTTCGGGTCAAACCAAGTTTCGGTGACATCATTTTATAGATATTTATCGTTACAAGACGACATTTGTTAAAGAGTCAATGGATATCACTCAGTACCCAATGAGTGTTTTGCACTAGCCTGGGACGATTCAAAAGCGCGCTATCATGTCCTCACTAGGCATTAGGCGGCAAATCATCAGGTTAAGAGGAGAGCATTTGGACACTGGCTTGACAGGTAATTTGAAACCCTACTACTTAGAAAAAAACGACACCTATATTTAATGCTTCGGATGAGGAATTCTATTCAGAGGAGTCGACTATAAGGATGAATACGCATTGGTGACGTTATTTTGGTATGACTCTATGTTGAGAAACAAAAAAGACTAAAATTCATTCGTCAATTGAGCCTAAACAGTAAATTATAAGATCCATCTATGGATGCTTCTGTAGTCATTGTTATTAGATCATTTGAATTTAATGATAAATCTATTTTTGACTGACGTAGCACATATCCAAATGAACTTGGAACTTAAACTGGTAAACAAAGACATCAATATTTTGTGGAGAAATACGAATACAAAATGATGTTCTGATACTACAGATTGATAGGCCAAGGCAAAAAAATCTATTCATTTTTATTCAACTTTCACTTTTACCACTAGAAAACATATTTCTGACTGATTGAGTCTTCAAACTTGTATAGTCTGAGGATTTAAAATCACTGTTTTGTATCAGCTGTCAAAACATGAAATAAGTTTTCAGTCAAAACATTTTTTGCAATTAGGGATGAAGCGTTAAACTCTACTGTCTAGTGCTAAAACTCTAATATTAATGCCTACTGTGAGTTCAGCATGCGAATTTAGTTAAACATTAATTTTCATTAAAAATATAAAGTAATTAATAAAACGTTACAATTCTCTGATTGGCCAGTTGCAGTCAAGGTTATATACCCCTTGTCAGCCAATGATATTTACTTCTAGTAGAAATATAAAATAATTATAATTCATATTTGTTAATGAAACATGAAAGTCACGAAAGTAAATTTACATTATTAAAAAAAAAAGGTTATACAAATAAAAGCGGAATTTAATTTATTCCCAGAGTTGGAAAGATCTCTGAATAAACGATTACTGAATACAACAAATACACCGTAAATAAAAATCCGTTGGATATATACAATTTGTTCTTGTGTAAAATGAACTTGAAACTATCAAATACTAATGCAGACGATAACAACTTTTAAATAATTTAAATATGGAGATCAGAAATTGTTTTCAGGTAATATCAAGTTTTCTCTCTTTCTTAAAGTGCAGTAGAAATATAAACTTTAAAGTAAATTCATTCACTGAAATACCAGTATTAGATTTTTTACGATATATCTGTCAGTGGGAGTTCGAATGTGCATATCCTTTTTTATTTGATAGAGTGTAAATATGCACAATTTAAAAGGGAATAAATTTCGGTATATAAGAGGCTTTAATGTCATCTATTCACACACTTTGGAGGTCAACAGCACTCAGCATCAAAAATAAGATCCGGATTTTCAACTCCAATGTAAAGTCAGTGCTAGTATACGGATCAGAGACTTGGCCAGCGCGTCATAAAGAGCATCCCCAACAAAATACAGACCTTCATTAACAGTTGTCTTCGCTCGATACCACTCAAGATCACATGGCCAGCCAGAAAAGATCAGCAACAGGGATCTCTGACAATGAGCGAACCAACCGAGCAGGAACGGATTGTGAAACAAATAGGCAGGAAGAAATGGAGATGGATTGGCTGGCCATACTCTGAGGAAACCATCAAGTGAATGACATCACTAGACAAGCCATCGCTCGAATGGAACCTGGAAAGGGAGGCGGCGAGTTGGTCGTCAGTATGAGGGTAACTTGGAGGAGGTCATGTGAGGAGGAGATGAAAGCGTGTGGGCAGACTTGGGTGAAAAATTTGGCAGAAACCCGAAGGCAATGGAGACTTGGAGCTGAAGCCATATGTTCCTCTAGGAATTAAAGGATATAATAATAATAATTCACACACCTAATTGAATACCTTAAAAGAACGATCACTCTCACTAAAAGACCTAATCAGGGATATTTTGGCATAAATTGCTAGTTCCACATATCCAAGAAGAGTGTTCAGCTTACCGCTGGCTTCTTTATTATGTTTTAAATGCACACAGAACAAGAAAGCTATTATACTGAAATAAAGTGAGGTAAGTTTGCTTGATATATAATACACAGCGACACAGTATTAATAACTGGATGACATTTCGAGCACAGTTTATGGCACATAATCATATCATCCAGTTATTAATTCTGTAACACTATATAAAGTAGACTTGTTTAATATAGAATTATATTCCACTAGAGTGGCCAAATTCTAGCTTACATAAGTCGTATTTGAGGTAATTGTATATTTGTAATATAAATTCATTAAAATGTGTACGTATAACATTAATGTCTACATTGTGTGATTATTAAGACAATATATACTATTGAAAGACATGATTATTTGTGAAGGATTTTCGTCAATAATCAGTAGAAGGCGGTCTTTATACAAATAAATTCAAGTGCGACTACAGAATTCTAAATAGATATCCATTATAAGTTAGATCACGAGCAGATGTCGGTGGGAAAACTACTGAAAACCAAGGTGTACTAGGCAGTTGATGAGTCCTAGTTTTGAAATCTTCAGTGCCCTGCAGCCATGATCCCCTTGGGATGGGAGCCAGAACCTTGAGCCGATTGGTCATTCAGCCATTGAGATGGAATGCATTGCCCCATGAACTTTAAATCCACCGATTTGTGATTTCCGTTAATTTCTCTGTTACGGAATAGCTAGCTTATCCCGCTTCAAGCAGTTAGTCTCAAATAAAACAATGGTCCCATGTTCAAACAATGGTGATCAGAATTGAAATGTAACATTTATTCACTTTATTTGCTTCCACATCAAAGAATTAAATGTGGTTTATGCTATCGTTTGTTTATTTTTACCTAGTTTTGCCAGACTCATCTTCTAAGGTCTACTTCTTGAACGGTGTTGATTTAACCTATAAGTAGTTGTGATATCTTTGTACTAGAGATAAATTTTAATGTATCCTGTTACTTTATGGATCAATAGCAAATCACATACATAACAGGTGGAATGCCATTTTCTTGTTTCTGTAATTTTTAGTCCAATACATCTGATTGAATATAAAAGGTGACTTTTAGTTTATTTTTGTTGAACACTTTAAGAATCACTTTGATACTGGTTAATGTTATCGGCTGTGTGTGTTGTTTATCTTGTAAAAGAGTGATTTACTGTTTCTTGTTTACTTCCCTGTATTTATCAGGAAAATATGTTAGAAGGAAGTAATATATTCAGAGGAAAACATCTCAGCATAAGAACACGCAAAAAACAAAACATGTCAAACATAATTCGTAAACTTAATTCTTAGCCTATAATTGTATCATGAAAAACAAACAGGTGAAGGTAGGATGAAATATGATTAACTATACCATATACTGTATAGTAAACTTATCACCACAGTAGTAAAACGAAGCTAAAGGTCAAGTTTTATCGACAAAACTGACTGTTTGTATCTACAGTGTGGGTGACTTCATTAGATCGTCTCATTTGGATGTATTAATTGTTGAGATTTTTGTTTTTGATACCATTTTCAGCATTAAAAAATCCTCTTCATGATATTCTTCAAATATCTTATAATATGAAACATTTTCGCTCCTGTGGTTCAATGGTAGAATAGGCACCAGTCAAATAGGAGGTTTAGGTTCGATTCACAACCGGTTCACACCTAGAAATCTCCTAGTTTGTAAGCCTAAGAAAAGCAGAAGGGCTTCATGTGCGACTGTGAATCCTACACCCTCCGTGAAAGCAACAAAACCGCTTCTACTGAAACCTGAAAGCTTAAAGCTTGAAGTCTGGTGTTCCACTCTGAACTCAAGGGATTAGAAGAAATATCAGGAGTTGCAGTAATTTTGTCAATGTAGTCTTAGATTATTACTCCACGTAATGCTTGAAAAATCCATTTTCAAAAGCAATGTTTCGATAGGAAAAATCATGGTTTCAGATGTGATAGAATATGTAGTTCTCTTACCCGTAAAAGAAACCACACAAACATGCACCATGCAACCAATAGCACACTTAACCTGTGAATCGTCAGAAATCCATAATTATTACATATTTCCTAGTTAATCGGTAAGTCGACTTGTTTATTACTTTTGAAAATACTTTTACCAGGTGGGAGCTTGATACGTGTAAACAAATAGAAGTGAAAGTGACATTACGTTAAAGGTTTTCAACACAATCATAAGGCAGTTATTTTGGCCATTAGCTGAAATTTCACAGGAAATATTACTAGCTTAATGGCCATAGATACCCCTTGCTCTCTAGTGCAGAAAAAGTTGAGAAACCTCGGAATTATAACCTCATGTTGCTCATCTCCACAGGATCTAGTACTAAAACAGTAACGCACTAATTAGCAGATATACTGTTTGGCATCCATATTCTATGCATCTTTTGAATAGTCCGAAAGCGTCACTATACAACTAATAATGGATAAAGTCTAAAATGTTTTAAAATGTCTAAATATTCTTTAGCTTCTAAAGATTTACTAATGGTTCCTGATAATGAAAATTACTTGGTTTAATTTTTTAAGTGTGTTTAAACCGTCTATTGTTCGCCCATAATTTAGGTATTTCGTAAAGGAATTACACACACGTACATAAATGTTTCATGTTATTCATTATTTTCTTTTTTACTGAAGCCTTACACATACAAGGCAGACAACAAGGCAATATTACGAGAATAAAGGTGGTTTTTTTTAAATCAACAATATTAATTATCACCTGTATTATTGATTAGTGAATTCACCTTGCCTAGTCCACCAGTTGGTGCTAAGCCTAGAAAAAGAGGAAAGATAGGTTGTTGTAATAATTACCCCACTTCTTAAAAAGCGACTGAAACTTCAGATCACGAAAAAAGTAAACTTAACCCTACATATAAGGATTTTATTTTTGATAAAAATCATACAGTGTCACCGTAATTTTTATTGATGACTTTTCAAGCACAATCAGTCGCTCATATCATATCATATAGTCTTGATTTATACATGTCAAAATCAAATTTATTTTTAACAGTTTGAAAAAATTTGGGCATTGGGTATATGATATTCATTATAATAAGGGTTTTTGTATTTCCCAATGAATGAAAAATAATATGATATTGTTTTCACTGAGGTTTCGCTATTTAATGCTAATAGCTTTATCAAAGTATTATTAAACCAGAATTTACAAAAGCTCCGCTTATACATATCAACGTATCCATCGTTCCTCAGCATGGGATCATTTTTGCGTTGTCAAAGTGGTCATTTGGTACAGATAACAAAACCAGGTGTAGATTGTTGGATTTGATAAGCGTATAAAATTAGGAGTTCGTCGGTGGCATAGAGGTTAGGATGCTCGCCGACCATGCATATGGTCCGGGGTTTGATCCTTGGCAGGCGCACTCCTTTACCTCGCTAAGCCAGTAATAAGACTGGTAAGGAGGGAAGGTTAGGCATGAGGCTAGCAACCTTATCCTGTAAAAATAAACACTGATACAGAAACTTCAAGCCTGTAGCCTGAAGTCGTACTTTCCACTGGGAACGTGAAGGAAACAAAAGAATAAAATAAAATTATAAAAGCAGCATGTGTTTACGTAATGAAACCACTTATCATATTTGTGTTGATTTTGTCATTACATGGAGGTGGGTGCTGTAACCAGGTCAGATTCTGTTTTAGTCCACCATTCCTATTCAGACAATTTGGATTCCATTAGATATGAATTGCTTCTGATATTAGAAGTTCTTTGTGATTTCTGAAGCTTTACTAGATAGTTTCAATATTGTCACAATGAGTTTTGTGGCCTGATTCTATAGCGTGTAGACAGGCTATGGCTGATGATTTTTCAAGCTGTTTTAGTTCAAATGAATTTCTCGGTAGTCGAAGAGTTGTTATATATAAGCGGAGCTTTTGTAAATTCTGGTTTAATAATACTCTGATAAAGATTTTAGTACTAAATAGCGAAACGTCAGTAAAGACAGTATCGTTTTGTTTTTCACTCATTGGGAAATACGAAAAACCTTTATTAAAGGGCATATCGACATGACATGATTCATTGTGCATTATTATTATTATATCCTTTAATTCCTAGAGGAACATAGGGCTTCAGATCCAAGTCTCCATTGCCTTCGGGTTTCTGCCAAATTTTTCACCCAAGTCTGCCCACACGCTTTC